GATTGTACAAACGTTAACCCATAATTTCATGCGTCTTTGAATATCTTTTTATATAAATTCGTATTTATATGCGGGCCACTTGATTTGGGACATTCATACTATAAAAGGCTTGCTGTTTGTGAAAGGACTGGTGACTGGTGATATAGATTTTGTTTTTTAATTACTGTAAATCAAAAGCAGTCGGTGGTGGTGTTGTATTTGTTTGCTTGGACATGTTTGTATGAGTTATTGCTTCTTTTGCCTGTCATATTAGAAACCATTAGTTGCAATGAAACTCGCATGAATTCCCTGCCGGAGGAGATTAAATCTATAATCGCCCTTAATCTCGATATGTGCTCCTCATCTCAGTTCATGAGAAATATAGAGCGTTGTCTCTAAATAACACTATTTTTCTCTCAAGGGCGCAGACTGGAGTGATGATGGTCATGATGGTGAATCTCATGAAACATATCCAGGACATATTACAGTTATCGTGTTAATTTTGATTTAAGATGTTGTAGTGGTTACGGTAAGTTTGTGTTTTGTTTTTTAAATTGAAACTCATAAATATGCGGGAATTGTGACATGTACACTGATTGTACAAACGATAACCCATAATTTCATGCGTTTTTGAATATCTTTTTATATAAATTCGTATTTATATGCGGGCCACTTGATTTGGGACATTCATACTATAAAAGGCTTGCTGTTTGTGAAAGGACTGGTGATATAGATTTTGTTTTTTAATTACTGTAAAGTGCATTTGTAAATAAGGTAGTAGTCTGTAAAAATGTAAGTGCCCTTAATAAAAACGTTTTGCAAATATATTCTGTGCAGCAGCAGCGCCATCATGTGGTCGCTGAGCGAACTTCCAGTCGTCGTGTAAAAGCGAATGATTTGCTTTATAGTATTAGAAACCATTAGTTGCAATGAAACTCGCACGAATTCCCTGCCGGAGGAGATTAAATCTATAATCGCCCTTAATCTCGATATGTGCTGCTCATCTCAGTTCATGAGAAATATAGAGCGTTGTCTCTAAATAACACTATTCTTCTCTCAAGGGCGCAGACTGGAGTGATGATGGTCATGATGGTGAATCTCATGAAACATATCCAGGACAAAAAGTCAGTGAAGGAGACGTTCATGTCTAGATGTACGTGTACAATGGACCCAGTGCTTTCTTTTGAGAGCCTTGTCTGTCATTTCTTTATCTCACCTTTTAAACATTTCAAATAGGCTGTAGCCTACTTTCACAGTTACTTATAGTAACACAGGAGGGAGTTGAAAGCTCCTGTTGTTGTCTGCACAGAAGGAAAGGAAGCACATCATCTGTTCAGCTCCACCGTCTCACCTGAGCGCATGAATCTAAATATGCTTATGATCTCTGCATCACAGATAGCAGTATCTGCTCATTTATTTCTTGTCATGCACACAATACTGAGAAGTAGATCATGAGTCTGGTTCAGATGTGGTTTAACAAGTTGTTATTAACTGACTAGTCTTCCATGATATGGTCAAATATTAATAAAATAACTAACCACATGTAGTTAAGACAGCTAAATATAGGCTTATGATATTTTCATATGTTACTGTTGATGTCAAATTCATCTTCATCTGTCACTTGGTAATATGGCTAATACTAATTTAATATTTTGCCCCATATTTGTAACATTTGTTACATTGTGCACTGCCATTCAATAGTTTTTTTTTATATTTTTGGAAAAAGGTCACCCAAGGCTGCATGTAATTGATCAGAAATACAGTAAAACAGCAATATTGTAAAATATTATTACAATTCAAAATAAAACATATAGTTGTTTATTCCTGTGATTGCAAAACTGAATTTTCAGCATCATTACTCCAGTCTTCAGTGTCACATGATCCTTCAGAAATCATTCTAATATGATGATTTGGTGCTCAAAAACATTTATTACTATTATCAATGTTTTTAAAGAATCCTTTTTTTCAGGATTCTATGATGAATAGAAAGTTCAAAAGAACAGCATTTATTTGAAATAGAAATCTTT